TGTCGGAGGTGCACGGGGCTCCTGCCCGCTAAGGATCCTACCGCCCCCGCTCTCTTTTTGGCGGGGGCGCGACCACCGGTGCTGCAGGTGCCCGGCGGGGTGTGGCGGGGCCCGGCTCGCACCGCCCCGGCTCCTCCCTCCGGGGTCCTCGCCGGCCCCTACGCCCGCCCCGCTGCCCCGCCCCGCCCGGCCGGGAGCGGATGATGGCGCCGGCCTGCCCCTGAGGAGCCGCAGCGGGGGACGGTGGGGGAGCCATGGAGGAGGACCCGGAGCTGGAGAGGTGAGGGACAAGCGACAGCGGGGGCAGCGGTCCCGAGAGCCAGCGGCCTCTGCGGGGCTGCTGCGCCGCTCAGGGCCCGGCAGCGCCTCCCGCGCCGCCAGGCCCGGGCAGCGCTGGGCTGGGGCCGATGGCGGCTCCTCCCGGCCCGATCGCTCCGCGCCGCAAAACGGGCCCCGAGCTCCGCCGGGCTCTGCCCGCTGTGCCCAGACAGACCCTCCGGTGGGTGTGCGGTCAGGACAGCCCGAGGGCAGCGCGGCCTGGGGCTGCTTCTGCCCTGTCTTCCGCACAGAACTTCGGCTGCGTGCTGATGTCGCTTAGAAACAAGATTGGAAGGTCTTGGATGGTTCACTCCTCATTAGTTACAATTTGGTCAGTTGTGTACTTGGTAAAATAAGTTTAAAAATTCCCAAAACACCTTATGTTGTTAGGAATTTCAATTTTCAGTGCTGGATAGTTGCCCGTTGACCAGTTGTTAGAATTGTATTCTTGTATCAAAAAAATACAAAATGCTTGGCAGTTATTTCGTCAAAAAATAAAGTCAATTTCTACTTGGCATTTCGTTGGGATCAGTGGATTCGTCTTGCTGCACGTTTTGAGTTGCAGTGCTCCCAAGCAAACACTGAGGAATAAAACATTGATTTCTATATTTGGATACTCAAAGTAGGCCTCTCTTGCTTTCTTTTTAGGAATAGACTTTTGGTGTTTATGTCACAAATGTTTTGCAAAATGATTTATGATTGGAATTTTTTTTTTTTGCAAGTTTATTTCTGGGTCGTTCACTTTCCTTATGGCTGTTTAAAACAGTAATTACAGTGAAGTGATGACCAGAAGCTTTCTGAACTGTTTTCCTCATGGTTCTCTCCTTTAGCTTTTAAGAAACTATATCTGGGAATGCTTGCTGAAAATAACTTTTTTCTGTTTATATTTGGCAGGTATTTGAAATGTGCCAAAAGCAATAGTACTGAGACAGTGGAAGGGCTAGAGAGCTTAATGCTTTCTAAGAGGCTTTTAATTCTTGCTGAGCTGCTTCTGCTCTCAGATCATCAGTTTAATAATTAAAGCTTCTTTCTGTGCATGCATGAATGTTATTTTTACTAGTGCCATTCCAAACTTAAACCTTTTTCATTCATGGCAAGTTGAAACTATGCCACTGTTCTTCCATGCTGACTTCTGGTTGCTGTTGCCATGCTGGGGACCTGGGGTTCTCTGGGCAGTTCAGGGTACAGCTGACCTCACCAGCTGTAGCCGACTGCTCCACTGTCACCTCCTGACTGATGCTCTTCATCCCAGGAACTACATTCAAAGTTTTACCCTTCCTTGAAGGTTCAGTCCGAGTTGGGATTTGCTACTCCTGTTCTGTGGCAGCGTGGTGGATAGTGAGGATGAAGCTCAGTGTCACTTATCAAAGTGACATGGTAGGGTTTAGCTGTTTGGTGCCACCAATCCATGTCACTGTGCACCTTAGGGTGTTTAGTCGGCCCCAAACACATTACAGCTACGGTGTAGTGCACTCAACAGTTAGCTCTCCCTGTCCTGGATCCACCTATCATTAGTTACTTTTTCATACCTTAAGTTTTCATACCAGCTCAATTTGGCAGTAACAGCCTGAATTCAGCTTGTGCTCTGTGCATTTAGAGGGTGTGCTTTGGCATTGCTTGCTCTAAATAATGCTTCCTGTACAGAGCCCTTCCAGTCTAACACAGACCTTTCTTTATCCTTTGGGTTACAGACATTATGCCTTAGTTTCATATTCAATAACTTACTGATCATATTCTCCTGTGAATAGTGTAGCAATGGTAGTTTTTATATAACTTTTAAGGGTTTTATATTATGGGTTTAACATACAAATAATAGCATTTCTGTTCTGTAGCCACAGTGTTAACTACTTTAGGTGGATTTTTAGCATTTAAACATGGGTTTATGTGGAATATTTTGAGTAGTCTGTCCCTGAATTCAGTCTTGTCTTGCAATGCACAGGTCTTAAATAAAAACTTAAGGTTTTTATATGTGTGGTTTTTATTTAATTTACTGTGAGGGAAAAAGAAGTGTAGTATTTTTGTGCACTTTTCAGGTCAGAAATGAATTTTGTGTTCCAGTATTCCAAAAAGTGATCTGTTAAGTCAGTCGCCCTATATTTTTGTTATTATCTAGGGAGAAGTCTCTTAATCTAGCTTGTTTTATTTTATCCTTACTGCCACATTTCCTGATATTATTTTTCAATTTTACCATGTCTGACTCTCACTTGATCTTGCTTTTCATGTTTTCCTCACTTTAATATCAAGTGAAGTTTTCCTAGAAGCTGAATACTGACTTCCCATGTGACTGTTGCATTCTGTGGATTTTAAAACTCTAAAAGCTGTAAATACCACAGATGTGTAAAACAGTAATATTTGCTACATTCCGCTGAACTACTTCTTCTGCTCCATCTTACCCAATAACCTTGGTGGAAGTATGAACTGAGAATTTCCCCTGTGAACTTGCTGGTACATCAGTGAAGACGCTGAGGCTTGAGGTTCCATGTAATTCTTAAGAAAATTTCAAATTATGTTAACATATGATTAATGGTATTTGAAGCTATAAGCCAAGAAGGAGGTGGAAAAAGTTGTGAGTCAGCTAGCAGGAGCTGTTCAGTTTGTTTTCTCTGCAAGCACCTATAGGTGCTTTTCCTAGTATATTTCAGCTAAATATACACTGAGATATTATGGAGGTCACAATTTTCATTCCTGTGTAAAAAATTAAGTATTTCTTCCCCCTCTGCTTCCTAAAATATTGTTATTGTGGTTCTGTGTGTTTGAAGCACAGAAGATGCATCGTTTGTCTTCAAATACAGAGGAAGTGTCTTTGTTATGCTGTGTCCATATCCTTCCATAATCCATTCTATCTTTCAATACCTACAAATATTTCACAACCTTGAATATCGTACTTTATTAGAAGTACCTGCCAAGCTTATTTAGAGCATCATTTACTTGGGATTGTTTCTTAAGGAGATGCTGCTCTGAATCACAAAGAATGCTATAATTCTGTAACAAGAGGCCTGTAGTTGAGTTGAGAATCAATAATCTAATATTTTTGCTGCACAAGCAGCCCAACTACACTTTTTAGCAAGGAAGCTTTGTGCTTTGGAGAAAATTAATGGTTCTTACTATTGATTTTAATAGTTAAAGTCAAGTGTCAGAATTCAGTATTCCTTAATCCTGGTGAAAAAAAAAATAAAAGTGGACTGCAAGATAAGATTGGTGTTTGAAATGGAGTGCTACGATCACTACTCAGGCTGGTGAGAATATCGGCACAGAAATGTGCTGCAAATAGCACTCACAAGACTTGGCAAGTAGAATACTTAAATAAGTACAAAACCTGATCAGCAAAGTATGACAGCATTCACATGCCCAGTGTGGGATGTCTTTGACTTTGAGCAAATGTCAGAAAGCTTGTGGCATAGTGTGCTTCTTTTCATTCTTCCTCTTGTAGCTGTGTCCTAGGTTTTATTCCTGATTTTCATTTTTATCAGTTTTCTTAGTAAGGGTGAGCAGATAGGACCAGCTCATGAGATTTAATTTTAAATAACACTGTCAGTGTCTTCAGTCACTTGTTTGACTGAAGGTCTTGATATCCATTATTCAGCTGTAATTAGAATACCAACATTCACTTCTATTTCTAGTCCCATGCACAGTTAAAAATAAGTTGTATATTTAGCATAAAACTGCTTTGAGAAAATTGATTTTAAAAATTGCTAATTGTTTTTCCTGAGCTTGCAGCTTGCTGTCAGGACCTGGAGTGCCTCAGGAAGTAGGCTTAAGTGTGATTTTTGCCAGTTGCAGTAGAGGAGAAACTGGTCTTTGAGCTTTAATAGTACTGCAATAGACTGCAAAGTGTTATTAGTGCTTTCATGAGATGTGTTTGTTAAAGATGTCCCTTCTCTGACTGCGAGATGTTGGATATGAACGCCACCCTCCTACTCCAGGTCTGTGCCCTTCTGTAGCTGACTGTGTGCTGTGAAGCAATTCCAGTAGATATATTTTCATTAGAGCTCTCGTCAGGATCATTAATGAGATAATGGCGTGGGTGGACATGGCAGAGTTTTTTAGGTTATGTGCCAAAAACTCCCAGTTAGGACTACAGACAGACCGTGATGGATGGGGGGAAACCAAACATCACCCAGTTCTGGCTTCTCCCAGGCCTGTGCCAAGAATTGCCAGCCCATCAGAGCTCCATCTTGATGAGCCCAGAGGAGGATGGGGACACATACAGCAGGTGGGAATTCACAGTAAGGTCAGAGAGAAGTGCATGTCTTCCTTGGGCCCCGCCTCCCACTCCAGGGGTCATCCCAAGAGACAGCCTGGGCCTCCAGGCGTGATGCCTGTCACGAGGAGTCAGTCCTGGAGCATCTATGGGATTTAAGGGCATTGCTGCATAGAGTTGTGGGAGGGGTTATGGGATGCAGAAGAAAAGCATTTTGTGATCACGTATGGCATGTTGCGAGGAAAGGGTAAAAAAATGGAAGATTTGCCAAGAGGGCAGTAGTTTTGATCAGGTGATGTTGCAGCTGGGAATACTAAGAATATCAGTGTGGGAAGACTTCATATATTATGCCTACTGCTGATTATACTCTGTCTGGTTCGACAGAGCTGTAGAGATAACATAAACGTTATCAGAGACTTATCAGGCATTTTCACAGACAGGCTTGAGCCTCCTGCTGAGAGAGAGAGCGATCGAAAGCCCAGAGATGATAGAAAGTACAGCAAGGTGATGAACTGCGTGTGTGCAAGGCCCTTTGATAAACTGGGGCGAGCAGTGGGCTCCCCTGGCCACTCAGATGAACTGAGCCTAAGGGAGCCTGTGTCCCTGTGTGTCCCTGCTGCACAGCCTTGCTTGTGAGGTAAGGAAAGAAATCCACGCTCTGCATTTCGGCTGTGGCTTGGTAGTCACCTTGGTCACTGGTCTGCGTTGCTTCACTTGTGGCTTATTATGGGATGTATAGGGAAGAAACCAAAGACAGGGAAAGCAGGAAGTTCTAGTGATGTGGGGAGAACTGAGAATGGGAAAATAAAGGAGCAAGGGAATAAAAAGGTCTGGTCGTTTGTGTATAGGCTGCTGGTTGTTACTCTTGTCTGGCCGTGCCCTGCGCCTAATCATCACAGTCTGTCCTGTCTTCCTGTTCAGTTCCTTTCTAACTGTCTTGGGTGAAGGACTTTGTTGGAGGGGAGAGGATGTACATCCTAGTGCTAGCAGCTACAGTCAAACTGTGGATTGGAGGGACCTTGTGTCTGTGGTGCCAGCTACTGGAACATGTGAAGGTTTGCATGCCAGCAGCTGGGCTTGGGCCCTGGGCTGGAGGCCTGGGTGCTGGCAACTGGGGACATTTCATGGAGTGAGTAAAACCAAATGTTAGCCCCTGAAATGGGATTGGGGACCATGTGTCTATCTGTGCTGTAGTACTGGAGCAATATGGTGTATGAGGGACTGTGTGGCTGTTGGTGAAGATCAAGCTGGAATATCTGCTAAGTGGGTGAGTAAGGAGAGAGCTGGAGCATGAGCTTGTATCTCCAAGAGCCAGGAGGAGCTAGCTGATGAGGCCACCAGGGAGTCCTGGCCAGCTGCTGAAGAAGTGTAGGGTTAGGGGTGAAAAGTGTATGTGTGCTGGTGTGTCTCTACAGGCAAGACTGAAGTGGGGCTGGATGTTGGGGATCAGGGTGTCCCAATCAGCCCTGCGTGATGGTCTGTACTGGCAGTGCAGTTGGGCTGAAGTTTTGGGGGCTTCCCACATTCGGCTGGAGAGAAGAGCAGGATGAAGCAGTAGGTCTGAGCACACTGTGTGTCTGTCTGTGATGGTTGTGGCCAGCAGTGTAAGTGCCTGGTGTGTGCATCTGCCTCTTGGGAGCTGGTTTTCAGCCTTTCTGGTTGGACCTGGACATGGAGCTGTGGCTGCCTGGCCTCTCGGCTGTCAGATCCAGCATCATACATTTTCTCCTGACAGTCATCTGTAATCACAAACCATGGGTGGTCTCTGTAATAACATGGTGTTTTCATTGCCTGTAACTATCAGATATAGTTCTTTATTACCAATTATTCATTTTTTCAGTCTATCCATTTGACCTTTTGGAAAAAAATTATGAAGCTCTTCCCCTGAGTAAGGAATAGAAAATATTTCTCTTTTTGCCTGACTAGGAATTATTATATTATTTTGACACATGCATTTATGATACTGGTTATTAAGATATATGCAATAGGAGCTTTGCCTATAACCTTGGAATACAGAGAGAGGAAAAACTCTAATCCCTAAGAAATGTAAATAGGTCTTGTACCATACTCTTGAAGATAAAAATATCACTGCTTGTACCTTCATGTTACTGTAATTCTGCAACTAGATTGCCCAAAAATAATTGCCACAGCAAGTTTTAAGTGGTGATTGCTATAAAAGATGTCAGAATGATGACAGAGTTCTTAAATGTGCCCCTGTCCCTAATTTTCCCTCCTATCAGTCCCTCAGTGTTTGGTTGGTTCTCACGTGAAAGTTACATGCTGCATTCCCTTTGCCCATGCTGCTGCCTTTAAAATTGAAGCTGGCAGCCATGGAACTGTTTGTATTGTAACCAAGCTGTAAAAACGCAGAGAGCGAGGAATGTGGAGTCCCACGAGGCCTCTAAAAGCAAATTTTAAAAACTTGTTTACGTAGCTTTTGGCTTACTTGTGCAGAAGATATAAGTTCAGTGAATGGAAACATTATTTCAGAGAGGATCTGGGCATTGCGTTTCATTTGTCTGTGCAAGCTGAAAGGGCTTTATAAAGCTGCAGTGAATAAGGGCGATGTTGAAAGAACAGTATTAGGAAACAGTGGTTGATAATGAAGGTGTGGAACTAGAAGGCTGCTAAGGTGGATGCCAAGTCAGTCTGAGCTTTAATATAACAAAAAGTCTCTTATAGTTAAAGGCATGTAATTCCTACCTAAGTTAATAGAATTGGTCTCACCATATTAATTTATTATGATGTTTTCCCTAAAACTGAATCATAGCTGTTTAAAATACCCATGTGTGTGCTTTATTAGTGCTTTGTAGCTCAGATTATTTGGTTTCTTATTTCAATTATAAATTGTTACAGCTTTTATAGTACAATAATAATGACAGGCTTTTAATCTTTCAGTCAGGTTTTTTAAAAGGAGAATCACCAAGTTTGGTAACTGGTAGTTAAAAGTCAGACACTTTCTTCCCCTTTTTTCTCACCTTTGTCTGACATTGCTGTTTGAAGGCTCAGGGCAAGCTTCTGTTAAAGCCTTGTGTTCCTACCATGATCGCTGTAACTTAGCTCAGATAGCAAATTTTGGGTCTGGAGAAAAAACAAATTTTGCTGTAATTTCATGAAGACTCTGTGCCTGCAACATCTTATGTTCCAGTGCTATGGCCTGTGTTTTGCACCCTTTTTTTGGTGTTCTTGCAAGTAGCCAGAAGGATCCCACATCCATCACTTCTCTTACCTGGGAAGGCAGCAGTAGCTGGTGAGGTTGCTGGTGCTGATCTTGGCATCTCTGACAGATGATGGCTTACCTGGGAGAGAGATACTCCTTTTCCATGAGTGCCTGTGATGTGATGGGATACCCAGCTTGTCCTCACAGGCAAAAGTATGCTTAAAAAGGATTTGAAGTGCCCCAGGAAACTGTTCCCATTTTTGTATTTGCAACAGCTTTAGTCGGTTTTAATATTTCAGAATGTTTCTTGTAATCTTGGTCCATAGGAATTTGAGTTATCTTAAAAATCAAGGTGATTTTTGTAGCTTCTTTATTGCTTAATTACTACTGTGAATAAAGCTATCTGTTTTATTTGCTTAAGTGCATAAAGTGGCAAGTTCTTGTGTTCCACAAGTGGTGACGTTGTCCTTTTTCTCTTACTTAGGAAGGCTGTGGAAGAGTTACTTAAAGAGGCAAAACGTGGGAGAACCAGAGCTGAAACAATGGGAGCTATGGGTTGGTAAGTTGTTGAGGAGAAAATTAATTCTGATGCCAAGATAAATCTTGTCTTTAATGTGTAACAGAAGTCTCTGCTTTTTTATGTGTTTCGTGTTTAAATAATTTGTCTTCACATATTTGGGCAAAAATTCCAGTCTAAATAAGAAAGAAGTTCAGGTAAATTCTGTCTTCATGAAATTGCTTTGTTGAAGACAAACCAAATGGAAAGTTGAGACTATGTTCTTATAATAGATGGAAGTGCAAAGTTTGGGTTGGAATCTCGTGAGTCTTTGTGCGTGTACTTACATACTGGCTCACGTTACTGGGTTAGACTCTCTTTTAAGTGAAAAAAATTCATAACCTGACAAAGAAAGCTAAAGCCTTATATTAATAAAACAGCAAACTATCCTTTATTAGACAATTCATATGTAAATTGTAGCCAAAAATGAACTCAGTGAACTCAAAAGTATAATCCAGTTTTGGAAGAGGGTTACTTTTTAATACTAAAAAAACCTAATACCCAGGGCCTAATTTGTATAGTAACTGGGAAAAAAAATCACAGTATTTAAATTTTAAATTAAATACAGCATTAATTCTTCAATGCAGTATTCCAGATTTTACAGCTAGATTGACATGGCATGTAATGCATGTAATTATAATTAGAGAAGTAATAACATGCTGAGGAGGGTCATTCATCATAAAGTAATGTATATGACTTTAATAAGAAGCCATGGGATCTAGGGATGTTCATACAACTAGTGCACCAGTTGATTGCTCTGAATGCACTTGTAGATAAGGTTTGTCTTCCTCCATCAACAGTACTGAGATAAGCCTGCACTGTTCATTAAGTTCTCAGCTCAGTTGTCTGTTTGTTTTAATAGCTCTGAAGAGATTAAAATATCTTGCTGGAAAAAAAAAAGTTACTCTTTTATGTTTTCAAACAGGTTTGGGATTTTCTGTGTATTTTACTCTGTATTTCTTCTAGGAATGCAGTTCATACCCTTTCTGTTAAAATAGCTGAATTGGTGTAATCCCCCAGAGTGGCTGTGGCTGTACTGATCCACTGTGCTTTGATCCTGTCAGCCTAGCCTTGTGGCCAGGTAACCCAGAGCACATAATTAGCACCATGAAGTGATGTATGCATCCAGTTACTGTGAATTTGCAAGTTGATTCCAGATATGGGAACTAAAGATTTCTGCAGGGAGATAATTAGGTGCCCCTGTACAATTTTGCTGCCACTTGTGCTGTCTGGAATACCTGCCAGGAGAGTGTATGGGCATCTGCTCCTGAATGTGGCTCCTTCTTACTCCTTGTTTGTAAGGGGATAGTGGTCCTGTTCAGCTGGCTGTGATGATCAGCTCAGAATGCAGTTTGGTAAAACCTGATTCCCGAGGCCTGCCAGGGAATGAGATAGGCAAGGATGGCCTGTTGTTCTGGCTAGGTCAGGGTACTGTTAAAGTTGTAGGAGGAAAGGACTGTCAAGACAGCTTCAGGCACAGGAAGACTGTTGACATAGGGATTGGCATGGTGATATCCTGAACCAAGGCTGTTGAAGTACTTCTGACTGCAGAGGTACATGTGAACAGCTGTACTGGGTCAAACAAAGGATCCATCCCTGCAGTGCCCTGTATCCATCAGGGGCCCATACCCAGTACCAGGAAGTGATTTGCTGAATATCTTTGTTTCTGAATATGCTCAGTAGTACCTTCTTCAAGATACTTCTTCTGCAGCTCTGGATATCATGTTCTTGAGAGATTATTTCTGTGTATGTGATGCATCTCCAGGGATTTTTACCTCACTGAATTTATCCTTAGAGAGGCTGGTAGCAATCCCTTTTGTGACAAATCTACTGCTGTAGGGTTTGGCATAAGCTAGTGTATGGCTGGCATGTGTGGCTGTAAGGAAAGTATAGAGACCCCCAAAGGCAAACTCCCAATAAGTCTTTGCTGTCCAGTTCTGCAGGTACAACAGACAGAACAGAAGCTGCCAGTGCTGTCACCTCTTCAATATTTTTTATGCCCTGTTATGCAGTTCATGTGCTTCTGAACTGGCCCAACAGCTAGGTATTGCATAAACACATGGGAGATACAATGGGTAAGATATTTGGAAGAAGATTTAACTATGCTCAGTTGAGTATCACACTCCAGCAAAATGCTGTCAAGTGTTACTGATCCTGAAGGGCTTCAGAGACTACACCCAGGACTGACATGTAACCTTGCAAGGTATGAACTACTGAGAAGAAAGTAATTTCTGCTCAGAGCTCTGTGGATAGCAAATGAAATGAGCAGAAAAGTTAGTTCATGAAAATGTGTATTAGTAGATAGAGGAAATCATAGCTGATAGAAGCAAAGACAAGGTAATCACCAACTTGTCTAAAAGCACAGTGCTAACAGGTAAAACACAAAACCTTCCTTCCTTGCCAAACTCAAAATGCTTACAGGTGTGTTTCATGAGGACTTCTGGGATTCCTCAGCCCTTTGTCAGAGGAGTCCTGGAGAAGAGATGCACACACCCTGGAGACATCTAGTGTAAGGCCATCAGTCCTGCATTGGCACTGGAAAGTTGAAGCAGCTCAACCTATGAAGAAAAGATTTGTTCTGCCATCTGTTTTTGGGTAAGGAGAAGCAGAGGCTACTACTGCTCATACTTCACTGATTCCAGTTTATGTTGCTCTCCAGCAGCTGTTGAATACTGGGAAATACATTTCTGGAGTCAGTGGCATTTGACAGAAGTTGGTCAAAGGGATGTATATGATGTATATGGAGAAGTGGCATTCCTGGGTGGGATGACTATATTGTGCATACCATTACAAAGAAGTAGTGTCTCCTGGTGAATATTGATGGCAGCAAAACCTTAGCCAGCAAGCCTCTTAACACTGTTTTGGGACTGCTCTCAGGTTCAAGCCGTTGCTCTGTTACTGTCCAGAGTGATTAGTTCTCCATAGCTCAAGTACACTCTTTGGAAAAAGTTCCCCAAGCACACCTGCCTAATCTTTTGCTTTCTCATAATTTGAGATAGATGATGGTTGCTGGAGCCTCAAATACAAGTATCCAAGCCAGCTTACTTGACAGGTACCAAAAAAAAAAAAAAAATGTACAAAGCAATCAACTTGCAGCCCAGTCTCTCATACAAAGACTGAGCCTTGAAATACAGGACAGTATTGTTAGTATTTCTTCTAGTTTGGGAATGTTTTGCTGGTTTTACATTGCCTTACAGTTTTAGTGTGGATGACATGGGCAGGTGCTGCAACCTTAGAGGCTAGTGGAAGAAAGGCTTGTCCCTGTTTGGGACAAGTAACCAGCAGGGAGGTTGGCAGTGATATTGGCCAAGTTCAGGAAGGGAAATGATCTGAGGCTCTCTGGATATGGAGAAGCTGTCAGTATTGCCAGAGGGCTGTACAATCTCTTAGTTGGTTAAGAATCTCAGCTCACTGGCCTCCATACTCTTAGGACTGCTCAGATAGGCAGTATGTAGGTCCATGATAAATGAATCCAAGAAATGCTGGATATTCTTATTTGTAGATTTCATTCAGCAATGCAGTATTTCTAGTTCCTACAGTGTTCCTTTTGTATGTACTCTGTGGCCATGGTGATTCTTGTTGGGGGGGGTCTCCTGAATCCTTATGATAACACATGATGTAGATCCTGCTGCTAATGTTTCTGGCTCAAGCATTAGTGCAGCTAATCACAAATAAGGAAATGTATGAGAGAAGGGTAAGAAAGAACCCTCTTCTGAAGGTGTCTTAATCCTGGAAATGTTAATCAGAATGGAGCAGAATCGGTGGTTGAATCCTAGTGATGATGCTGTGATGCTGGAACTTCTGAGATGAGAAAAGACAGTAGAGCACTTGTCTGGAAGTTAACAGAGTTGGATCCAGGGTGAGAAATTTTGGACAAATAGTCCAAGAACATTTGAAATGGTTAGATAAATTTGTTTCATCAGAGGCTATTTGACGTAGATGAAATAGGATATTTGGGGGTTTCCATTGTTTTTAGCTAAAATAAAGCCAAACATTCAGTTTCTTTGAAGTGTTTCTCTTGGTTCTATGTACATAATTCGTGAGCTTCTTTTATAACAGTGAAGTTAGGTCACATTTTAAGTGGTTGTTCTGCTTTAAGTAAGAAAGGCAGTTAAAATGCCACAAAAGGTACTGTGTGAAAAAAGTTCTAGATGCCTTTTTTCCCAATGATCTTAAAAGATGCTGATAACATGAACTAAAGCTAAATAGAATGTAGCTTCTCATCTTCTTTGAAAAGCTTATGTAAAGTAAGAACTGGAAAACATTATATTTTTGATAGTTTGTTCAGCTCTGCGTTGTAAGAGCTGAACTTCAGATGAAATTACAGTTAAAAAATTTGGAAGCATTACATTATTTTTAACTCTGTTTTTTGTAAAGCAATCCTAAAATTGCTTTCATTCCTGTAGATAGCTTTCTGTTCAATACCAAATCTGTTAGAAGTACAGCAGAATACAAAATGATGATGATGAGGATACTGAAACTGTGAAGAGCTGTGTTGCATCTTGTCTTTGAATGGCTGTCGTGTGCGGGAACACTGCAATGGATTCCCCTGAGCTTTCATTTGAATATGAGGAAGAGGAGGAGAAACAGGGTACAGATGGAGATTGAAAAGTAAATATGTTAAAATCTTGTAATCAGGCCACATCCTAAGTCAAGCTGTCACTGGAACAGATTGCCCAGAGAAGCTCTGGATGCCTCATCTCTGGGAGTGTTTAAGACCAGGTTGGATGGAACTCTAAGCAACCTAGTCTGGTGAAAGGTGTCATTGTCTGTGGGGTTGGAACTTGATAATCTTTAAGGTCCCTTCCAAACCAGATGATTCTATGATCCTACAAAATCCTGCCAGCTGTACCTGGCTGCCAAGACCATATTTCAAAGCTTTCAGTGTCCTCTGAGGCATGCTCCTTTGTAAGGTCCCCCATAAAAGGGTAACAACATAGATTACTTGGTTTGGCAAAAAAAACTCTAGCTGTTTCACATCCCCCTTCAGTCACTCTTCTACTGAAATATTATATTTTCCATGGCAGTTTGGAAATGTACTTGTCAGTTCATCCATAGTGAACTTTTTTTCTTGGAAAGATGGGCGTTACTCTGTGTGATAAGGTTGACTGTGCCAATTGTGTTTGGTGTGTCCAGTTACTCAGCAGAGAAAGACTGGCACGTGGCATTTGTGCTCTTGTGTCTTAAATGGTGTCAGCATGTTTTTACTCTTAAGAACTTGTGTAGTGCATTTTTGTGCTGAACTGCACTGCTGCACTGGATGACAGGCACTGGCTAGAAATTCTGTGTTACTGCACAGATTTGACTTAAAGGGTCAAAAATAGGGTTAATATTTGACCTATGTTAACAATGACAGATTTAATTTTTTTCTCAAAAGGCAATATCATTGTCAACATGCAGTGTGTTGCACTGTCTTGGTTATTACATAGTGGAGAGATTTTGAGGGGTGTGAGATTTATTCGTGGAGGGGGGCAAGATTCTGTCAATGAGAATAGCTTGGTGTAGCTTTTGGAGCACACAAAGCAAAGTGAACCTTACAATGGGTGAAGATTCTGCTGCAGAACTGGAGTCTGGTAGACAGGAAGGACCTAGAACTGCAGTCGGTGTCCTTGCCTCACACACGCCTGCAACCCTGCTTGGGGCACATTTCAATTCAGAACTCTAATGTTCTTTTAACTTGTTTGGGTTTTGCTGGTTGGTTGGTGTGTTTGTTTAAAAGCAAAGCTTCTCAAATCAGTTCTGTGGCACTGTTTGCTGGTCACAGCAGTATTGTGTTCCACCATGCCCAGGCTGAGATGCCTCCCAGCCCTTGAGAACTCACCTGAGGGCAAACCTGTTTGTGAATTGAGCACTGCAGGATCAGGCCCTACAGCAAACCCAAGGCCAGTCTTCGGAGATGCCAATTTCCTCACTATTAAAGATACTCTCAAAGATTTTAGTGGATTCATACAGTTCACTTTAATCTTCACAGTTCCATGTATACCATGGCTAAATGTAAACGTGTTCTGTGTGTGCCTGTAATATAGCGCACGCCATACATCTTGTTCGCTTTAAGATTTAAAGGCAGCATTTGCTGTGTTGAAGTCCGAGGTCAATAAAACTAAGAACTAATGGTTTTTTTCAGTGCCATGACTTACTGCTGTTCCATGAAAGCCTGGTGGCTCACTTTAATCACAGTATGATGGTAAACTAATGGCATCTCTTAGCTGACTCTCAAGTCCAGTATTTCTCATCAATTTTCATTCTTAGTACAGCTCAGGCAGCACTCATAGTGTCAAAAAGAAATAAATGCTTCAGCCAGATGGATTTATTTAGGGCAAATTGACTGTCTCATTCTAGCACTATATATTACTGCTTAAATCAGTGCATTAGCTCTTAAGAAAAAGCAAGAGGAAGAACAAATGTGAAATAGATTTTGCCTGGATGCAGCCTAGAGAAGGCTGACCTCCTTGGCAGGAAATGTTGAGGTACAATAGTTTAATGCATTTATAAGACATACAAAGGACTTTAATGTTGGCTGGCTTCTGTTATGTCTTGAGTGTAACCTGTGCTATGACATGTTCAGCACCATGTTCATTGGTGGTATAGCTTCAAATAGAAACCCTGTTCTACTAACATTTATTTATCTAATTTACAAAAGAGTTATACTAGATTAAAGATCTTATTTATTTAAAACCAGGATTTGAGAAAAATGGTGTAGATTTATATGAAGAAAGTTTAGAAAATTCTAAAATTCTATGCAGTAGAAGTATATCAGAGAATACAAAATACCTAGTGGAAATAAAACAGTATGGCTGTATGCTTCTCAAATTGCTCTCCTAAGTTCTTGAAGGATTTAGAAGAGGAACAATTTAGCAGAACAAGAACAATTATCAAGAATGCTTAGTAGGCAGACCTGAAGCAAACCACCATGGTAAATTCCATGTCCAGTTAATTCATGAAGTATGCTAAATAATCATGTGAACTTTGTTGTAGTTTGCTTGTTGTTCTGATGGTTTAGAGGTGTCAAAGGTTTTTGAGTAGTTAGGTTATCATTTCTACACCTACACAAAATATTCAAGTAGAATAGATGATCTTAACATTGTGGTGATAGGATTCCATGACTCTTTAGTTGATTCACTAAGTTGCTGTGATCTCTAACAGCTCTGATTTTTTTAAAAGGAATCCTGTAACTTGTCTCAAAACTGTGAAGACAAACACCGCAGTGACTCCAGCTATAAACAAAGTCTTCAGAGTGATTTCTGTTCTCTGTAGGAACATACTTAAACTTGTTTTTTCTTATTCCATTCTTTAAGAAATGATAATTGGGAATAAGTAGAGTACAGCTGATACTAACAAGATAAATGAAATTTACATCCTAAAACTAGCTGATAAATTATGTGCAAAAGTGTTTAGCTGTGAGCGGAGAAAGTAACAAAAAAAAAAAAAGAAAATAGTTGGATAAGTATCTTTACTGTTTTAGAAAAAGAAATAAAACACTTTGGTGATTGCTAAGTGTAAGTTTAAATTGGTCTCGTGTATGTTTATGCTACAGTTATTTGGGTTTTTCATGCATGTGTATCTTACTTTCTGAATATTACAGTTCACTAGATAATGCTGACTTTAGAAGATCTCTGTAATCTCTGTAAGACATTCTGATTTGACTTAGAGTATGTTACTAAATGTTTGATTTCTGAATACCTAAGTTAGGCACCATCAACCTTAAAATATATTGGCATCCTTTGCTTCCCCTTACACACACTACCTTGAGAAAATAATGTGAATTTTCACAGTGTTGAAGTAAAATAATTTCCTTCCCATAAAGAGTAAGACAAAAGAATGGTAATGATCTGGAACTTATTTTTCTGTACTGAGAGTTTACACTAGGTGGCATGCAAGGAAAGCCAAAATCACAAACTTGTCTTAAAATCACTTTAGTTAATATCTCTGACTTGTTTTGGAATGTTTTTACCTTGTCTTTTGATGACTTTTAAATGTCTTTACAGGTTGAAATGTCCTCTTGCTGGTACAAATAAAAGATTTCTTATTAATACCATCAAAAACACATTGCCATCTCAAAAAGAACAAGACCCAGAGCGTGAGCAAAAGGAAGATGATAAGGAGTCTGAACCAAACAAAAGCAGAAAAGAAGAAAAACCAAAGAAACGCAGAATTCACCCGTATACACCCAGCTTTCAATCCAGAAGGAGAGTCAGCTACTCTCCTCCAAGGCACCAAAGCAGGAACCAGCACACAAAGGATAAACATGAAAAGCGATCAAGCAAGCGATGAGGAGAGCGACAAGTACGTGTTGTTACAAGTCAGGAATGTCATTGAGTATAGGAAAGTGGGGGTGTCTCAGTTTTTCAAGAGTTGATGTTCAAACTTGAGTTTTGAACCAAGTTGCCTGTGTGAGAAGTAACCTTGAGGTAGCTTTAGAAACTTTTCTTTGGGACCTTTAAGAGAAAAGCAAAGTACAGCCTAAAACTTTCAGTTGTTTTAGAACAGACATTCCCTTTGCTCTATTCCTTTCTCCCCTTCTGACTAAGCCTAGGGTCTTCGTGATGGAGTGTGATATGTGTGTCACTGTCTAATACAAATCATTTAGTCATGTCACTCTTGGGAATAAATTTAAATCAAGCAGAATTCTATTTATTGTGTGAAGTTTGCAGAACTTCTTTGCTGCTAACCAATAAAGAAGTTTTGCTTATTTGGGTTAGAATTTAGAATAAGAGAAAGCTGGTCAGTGCCTGGCCAAGCATATGCATTTTGTATAGAATATAAGAGATTGCTTTCTTCAATACAGAAAGAACAAATTTAAATTGCGCAATGCTGGTTTTGCTTTCCAGGAGGGACTGCCGGGAAATACTGATTTTTGCTTGTTAATGTATATTCACAAACCTATCATAGATAACAATAAACATTACCCCAAAAAAGCTGTAACTGCAATAATTTTCTGTGTTTAGATTTCCCTCTGTAAGGAAGTAGTTGGAACAGTCTGTTGTCATGGTGCTTTCAAAACAAACCCTGAAGACAAAATTTTCATCTTTTCTGTCTACTGCTGGAAAGTTTCCAAGTAAATATGTAATACTAGAAATACAGAGGTGATGCTTAAACTGTCAAATGCTCACTTTCCAGGCCTGTGTGGCAATTCTGTAGTGATACAGTTCTTAAACCTGTGACCATGAGCACAAATGATACACATTGGCGTCTTCTGTGTCTCACTTCTGTTTGTGTTACATTAACAAACTTCTACATGAAATATTTTGTATTTTACTGTTCTCAGAAATAACTGTTTTCAACATAGGTTTGTTTTTGAGTGTGTTGACAATAAAATCGAAAATGTTCATTGAAAGTGCCTTGCGGAATTAATGCTTTTAATGGGCTTCTTAATGAGATGTGCCTGTGTGAGGAGCGGGCTGCGCGGCCCGTGCGCTGAGTCGGAGCACGAGTGCCACCTATAGGCGTGTGCGCGCCTCGCCTCTGCAGAGCTCCTGCCGGCTGCCGCACGGGAGGGACAGCGTGCAGGGCTGCTCCGGATGGGTTTTGGTGCATGAACTGGGAATTGCTCTTTTAGTGGGAAGGTAGAAATACCGGCAGGGTCAGCATATCCAATGAAGTGGGATACTTCGACATTTCCCCAGAGGGGTTATGTACAGGTCCTCTATTTCCTTGCAAGACCCACAGCGCTAAAATAGACCCCTTACCCCTTCAGAAAATTTACAATTATTTGAGTGGGATCAATGAAAAGGTAGTACCTTTGGGGGATACAAGGACTGTCTTCAGTGTAAATAAACAGATGGTGTTTGCAGTCCTTATTTTTCCAAGTACAATCGCTACTGTGCACTCGTTAATAATCCTTTTTGGAAGGACAGCAGCTATAACATGAGCTGAGTTCTGCTGTAATGACAGTGCTGGATGGATGTGACTTTGCAGCAGAGAATTCATCTCAGAATTTGGACAGAGAATTCATTGGTCAGAATTTGGACTGGAGATATTCCACAGAACAAATTTTTGTGAATTCTTGCTGGTCTGGCTTGTGCTGGTATATGCTGTCCTGAGAGATTTCAACTCTCAGGCCTTCAAACACCACTTTGGGATAAGGGCTGTTGTTGATGCTTTATTAATTTATGCCAGGCTTTCAGGTAGGGAAACTGATTAGATCATGCTCTCAAAATCGGTCTGGATTGCTGATAATGCTTGCATACTGGAAATGCTCAGCTAGAGGATCTGACATGACCTGCACTGATAACTGGAGAAAGCTTTTCATCAGTGGTGGTGGTGATAGGTTCAGATTCAATTCCACATTTTTCTGACTTACAGAATACACACAAATTATTAATCTTGCATTGGTTAATTCTATCTTTTAATGCTTTTGTAAGTGTACTTAATAAAAACAAAATCCTCCACTGCTCATTAACCGTTCTTAAGGCAACTCTTTATAGAATCACAGAATGGGTAAACTTGGAAGGGAGCACAGTGATTTTCTAATAAGAACTTGGGTGCACAAAGCCAGTTTTGTATTTTGTCTGCAGTTGCTCATATTGTGCAGCCCCAGCATCATGTTTATAAGGCAACTTAAAGATAGGATTTAACCCTGAAAATTAAGACTTGTACATGACTTTTCCACTGCTTTTTACTAACTGCTGTGCACTTGTCACTTGTAAAAGTGCCTTGTCCTTAAATAAATAAATAAATAAATAGTATGTTCTTGGTCTCAGCTTCCCATAGGAAGGGAATGCACCTTACTTTAGTGCTGCAGTCGTACTTCAGAGGTGTTCCTTGTTAATCTGTGAGCTACCAGTGTTGCCTGTGTTTAGTTTCAGTGCACATTATGTGGATAAAGCTTTTTCAGGTGAGACTATTCTCTTGCCATAGCCAGAACAATTTGTTCTTTAGCTTTATTATTGTGTTAGATAGAAATCCTCCAAATGTTCATTTTTGTCAATCTGGTACTGAATGTAGATCACAAAACAATGTGAAAGAGGAGAAAACATTTTACGCAGCCTTCATGAAATGCCTTTGTTAATTTTGACTGTCAGAGAGATAGTAACATGCAGTTCTTGCATTCATTGTACAGCCTCCTCTCTTTTGTAAATCCAATTTGAATTATTTACAATGAATCTTGAACGTCCAAGAAAAGCCTGACAGATTTCATGTATAACAGAACTTAAGGGCAAAAACACACACTCTTTTAGACTGAATCACTCTAAACCAGAAGTATCTCGAGGTGCAGTTGAAAGAGTGTTCCTTAGTGATCATGAAATTTCTACAGAAAACTAGTTAACAAAGGAGATGTAAATGTTTGTAGATCAATGGAATAATGTAGCAGGAGGGGGTTGCTTTTCCTGCACAGAGCTGGTTTGGGTCCTTTTTTGTTGTGGCTGCAAGTTGATCACCAAGAAGCATGTTTCCTCTCCTGTCCTGTCGAAGCTCTCACTAATAATTATGTGCTTTCAGTTAATTAAGCTGGAACAACACAAAAGCAGACTTGTTTGGATAAGTAGCAAGAAAACATATCTGGATTGTGTTTGAAGAAGGATTTTAGTCATTTTACCAGTGCAGTCACTGATCCACCAAATCTTTATTCATGTGAATGATCTTTGCACTTGCAAATAATCCTGTTGTAGCTCACCATCTATGAATGAACTCTTGTCTGCATTAATATACACTTTGTTTTAGTGACTGTCAGTAGGAAATAATAAAGAGCAAATGTTAAAGAGCACATAGCTCTGATTAAAAGAAAGCCTTAAAATTTTTGCCTGCTGAAGGTGCTACAGCAGCTATATGACCACTCATCTCGATATCAATTGCATAACTACAACCAAAGTCTGATTTTGGGAAACTTGAGTGGGCATTCTGCTCTGCTTGAGATGCTGTCTTCTGGATTCTCCAGCTTTTCCTGGTAAAGAATTGCCTGTGTCTTTTAAAGAACCACACGAGGGATCAAGGTTTGCCTAATGCTCGTCATTTAAAATTTCTCAAAGAAAAATGCCAGCAAGCAACTAATCCATCAAGACCAGCAACAACTGACAGTTGCTGGTAATGAACTGTTGTTTAAGTTAAATAATAATAGTATTAAGGAAGGAGTATAACACATGAAGGAAAACCAAGGCCCTACATGAGCTGTTACCTTGTATTGATTCTGTATATTATATTCAAATACAGTTTTCTCTACCTACCATTGCTCCTCCAGGCAGTGCTGCATGGTCAGTACCTCTCTGAACCCCTCCATGCAGAGAAGGCACTTTCTAAGTCCCTGGAGAACAGAGTATGTTTTGTCTAGAAAAGTTTGAGTGTTACCCCCTTCTTTCCCTCCTAGTGTCCAGTTGCTAAATTGGGGGATGCCCCAAGGAGAGGCAGGTGAAGTTTCCCATGCTCTGGCTCTCCACCTCCCTCCCTGAGGACTCCAGCAAGATGCTGTGTGGGGCATGGCTACTGGAAAGACCTCCTTCACGTCAAGCACCTGAGTCAGTCTAGTTAAATAAATCTCTGTGAGGAAGCACAGCCCCCTAGGGAAGGGGCTGGTACTGTGTCAATGAGTAAATCCGCAGCTGGTGTGAATCAGGGAAGTTCTGCTGCACGGAGCTCCTGCACACGTCCTGCCTGCCAGAAGTGCTGCAGACCTGCAGGTAGATGTACAGCTCCTTGCAATATCTGCCTGGCAAAAGGACTGAGGATCAGCCCCACTGTGAGGGAATTCCTGAGGGTGGCTCTTCATCTGCCTCATCAACAGGTCTCATTTAAATTTGGATCTCTGCAGGAAACTTCTTGTGACAAGAAAGGGACCAGGAAGGCACGGCTCTACCTTTCTGTAGCAGGACCTATTGCATCCTGTCCAGTAAGCTGCCAGCTAAGAAGTGAGTTAAACTAGCAATAAAAGTCAGCTGGAATGAATTTCATCTAAACTTCATTTTTCTTTGCCCATTGAAAGTATTTTCCCAGGCATCTATGCCCTTGGAAAGGAATGGTAAACCCCCACCACACTCCCTTTACTTGAGATTCACCTCCAGCCGTTGCTGCTAACTTTTTTCCTTTTTTTAATCCTTTCTAGGTTGAGTTCTTTAATAATTTCGTGTCTCTTTCAGTCTAGGCTCCAGCCTGGGAAAAACAAACCTGCCAGCCTGGCGAAAGCCAAACACACATGGCCCAATTACCAGCTTCCCTACTGTTCCTTTGGGCTGGCTGGTATTCTCCCTGCCTTTGTTTTGCTGCCTGCTCCCTGCCTCTGAGCAGCTTCCTTTGACTCTGCTCCATGCAGCCAGGCAGAATAAGATCCAGCAGGTAAACTGAGGAAGGGCTATTGTCTGTCTGCCCCTCCTCGCCTGTGGATCGCTGTAGTTTATCTGCCAGCAGAGCTTCCTGCAGGCATACACCTCTGTGAAGAGCTGCTTTGCTGTGGAATTAGGGAAAACACCTTGTTCTTTGCATTTGAAATGCTTGTGAAGTGTTGCTGTGTCTCAGTAACAGCGGGCCAGGTATTGCAGGATGGGTGCTGGACACAAGGTCATGTCACTCCAGCTCTGTGTGGTGCTTGTCTCTCCTCCAGCAGGTGCCTGGGCAGGCACTTGTCCTGAGTGCCCTGGGAAGAGCCAGGAGGATGGGTGGCATTGTCTTCACAGCCGTGTGCTCCCACAGCTCTGCTGGAGGAGGGAATGTGTGGCAGCAGCACGGTGAGGACCGGGCCTGGCTACCAGGGAAGGATGGTGCCGCTGTTACCTGTCAGTACCATTTGGCTGGTGGGCAGTGGCAGGCCCATGGGGTGGCTGCTCCCCGTGGCAGGGTCTCAGCTCGTGCCTCTGCCAGGCTTCCCTGCTGCGGATGCAGGGGTGTCCACCTGGGGGGGACAGGAGAGCAAACTGTTCTCCAAATGCATTGTGCCAGCTGGGATCCCCAGGAGAGCTCTTGGGGTGACGAGGAGTGCCAGTCCTACGTCCATTTGTCAGGCTTGTCCCCCTGCCCAGCTCCCAGTCTTGCTGTGATGTGAGCTCCCCTGAAGCCCAGGCTGTCCCGGTGTCCCGCATGAGGGCATGCGCTGAGGACCAGCTCTCCGCAGTGACATCAGTTCATCCTTCAGTCCCAGGAATGCTGCCTCACATCTGCCTGGCTGCAGCACCTGAAACGGGGCAGCCCCAGGCAAGCTGCCCACGCTGGGCCGGCACACTTTGCGGTGGGGCTTGCTGGTGCACCCAAAGCTGTGCCAGGGTCACAGGCCTGGGGTTAGGTGGGTTTCTCATGCTGACTCAGCCAAGTCATAAGGGTGCGAGGTGTCAGCCACGCAGCTGGCTGCTGGTACCTGTCCTGGAGAGCAGGATGCTTTGGGAGCTGCAGTGGATGCCCCAGGGCTGAGTATCC